AACAATATGAATAGTATCAAAGCAATCGGACTTACAGTTTTCAACAAGAAGTCGAAAATATCACTTTTTACCAAAAATGACAAAAATATTCACCAAAATTAGAGAATTAAAGATATCATCACAAAATGAACAAATCTGAGAGAGGTCCACATGTAGTATCTATATATGTAGTATCAAAGCGATTGGACTTGCGGTTTTTAACAAGAAGTCGAAAATATCACTTTTTACCAAAAATGACAAAAATATTCACCAAAATTAGAAAATTAAAGATATCATTACAAAATGAACAAATCTGAGAGAGGTCCACATGTAGTACCTATATATGTAATATCAAAGCAATTGCACTTGCGGTTTTTAACAAGAAGTCGAAAATATCACTTTTTACCTAAAATGACAAAAATATTCACCAAAATTAGAGAATTGAAGATATCAACATGAAATGAACAAACTTAAGAGAGGTCTACCCAAGGTACATATACACCAAGTATCAAAGCATTCAGGCTTGTAGTTTTCAAGAAGAAGTCGAAAAAGTAAAACATTGACACGGACGACGACGGACGACACCGGACAATCACTCATATGATAAGCTCCGCTCGACAAAGTCGACAGCGGAGCTAAAAAAGTATTTTACTGTATTTGCATGACATGAAAAGAAGACCAGATTTAATCTGATGATACCATGAAGCAACCATAATACTGTAAAACCATTTATTTTCACTGACATTTAATTTAACTATTTGGATGTTTTGATCATATTCACTGTGTTTTAACAAATATGTCTAGAAAATGAGTTCTATTGTTATTTTACATGTTCATGTATATTTAATTTAGCAGATTTTACACATCAGCGAAAATAGCAAAATTAGTGATAAATTAATAACAGTATCTGCCCCCCTACCTCCTCTCACTTAAATTGATTAATTCCCCAGTTATGTCTTGAACTGCAGTTTGACTTCTCAGTATACATATACATTTTTGTAAGAACTATCAATCAATAATACCATTATGGTAGACTCCGCAAATATTTAATATGCTTTTTAAACATTTTAGCAGCTAATCTATCATATTTTATACTGAGGTTTGATTTCACTGATCATGAAGTGACTGTGTACTTTGACTGCATTGTTGTACACAAACTGTCATAATCTGACTCCTTATTTGTAACAAGAAAATTCTACATAATTATCTTGTGATGCCAGCTGAGTATACACCATTATCTATCAAGGGCAAATAACACAAAGGTTTTGAATTTTAGGATAGGTATTAAACTGACATTAAGGAGGGATTAATCTGAGAGGGTGAGGCTATCTCTATATCAGGACTGTGAAATCTGTATTAAAATGGTACAATGCAACAGAGAGAATGTGGTTTCTATTAGAGCATCTACACATATGAGAAATGGTGAATTTTTGGTTCTCAATTATTCAAAAAGAATGAGTGCGACTTCTATCAGGGATGTGGCTTCTAATACAGATTTACGGTATGTAATGAAACAAACCTGACAATTCAAACTACTATAAGCAGCGGTGTTCTTTGCTCCAGTCACAGAACTATAAATTTCAAATACCTGTACGATACCCTATCTGCCACTAGAATTTAATTTGGGTGTAAACTTACCGGTAATTTCAGTATTGCATATAAATTCGTTTCACTTAATCACAAGAATTAGAGATGCATGCAAAATACAGAAAAAACAAGCAGCCTCTCGGCTGAGATAGCTCCGCTGTTAGCAATGCACATTTCAATTAAAGAACAGAAGATATCATTAGAAAATGAACAATACGTATAGTATCAATGCAATGGGACTTGCTGTTTTCAACAAGAATTCAAAAATATCATTTTTCACCATAAATGATCGTGGTTTTTAACAAGAAGAAAATATCACTTTTCACCAAAAATGACAAAAATATTCACCAAAATTAGATAATTAAAGATATCATTACAAAATGAACAAATGTGAGAGAGGTCCACATGTAGTACCTATATATGTACCGGTAATAATATCATAGCAATTGGACTTGTCCTTTTTAACAAGAAGTCGAAAATATCACTTTTTACCAAAAATGACAAAAATATTCACCAAAATTAGAGAATTGACGATATCATTACAAAATGAACAAATTTGAGAGTGGTCCACATGTAGTACCTATATATGTAATATCAAAGCAATTGGACTTGTGGTTTTTAACAAGAAGTCAAAAATATCACTTTTTACCAAAAATGACAAAAATATTCACCAAAATTAGAGAATTGAAGATATGATCATGAAATGAACAAATCTGAGAGAGGTCTATCCAAGGTACATATACACCAAGTATCAAAGCATTCAGGTTTGTAGTTTTCAAGAAGAAGTCGAAAAAGTAAAACATTGACACGGACGACGACAGACAATCACTCATATGATAAGCTCCGCTTGACAAAGTCGACAGCGGAGCTAAAAACTGTTTTGACTGCATTTTATTTTTTCTGACGAAATATACATGTAATATTAATTAATATTTCTCCAGTATAGGTAAACACACATGAAACATCAAAATTGATAAATTGACAACTCAGTACGCTTTGTACAGTAGTACATATCATGTTACAAGTCTGGCCATAGCATGTCATGGTAGGTTTCCGTTATTACTTCACCAGTCACAAATGGTGAATTTCAATTAAATGCAATTGAATCATCAAACTGTGAAAATACAAATTACAAAAAATTTAACAATTTGCAGCGACATTTTTGTGAAATATAATTCCCTTGATAAATGCTGTCAATTATCCAATGACGTACATTTGTGATAGCAGAATTTAGCGGTTTATAACTCACTGTGTTATTGACTTGTGATAGCAGAATTTAGTGGTTTATAAGTACGCTGTGTTATTGTAAATTACATACTGTAATATTGTTACTGACTGCAGCAAAATAATCAAATATATACACTAATCAAGTTACAGATGTATATTAAATATTGTGATGTAATTTCATGAAGACAAGGAATAGGATTTCTTTCTGTGAAGTAATTACACACACTATAGAAAGATTGGCATACATGTATATAACCTTTAAATTGTCAACTGCTTTGTAAATTAAATTATGTCTTATATACAGTCATATACTGGATCTATTCAATAAGCTTGTTTAACTTACTGTATACGTCTAACTTGTCAAATCCACATTTGAAAGAAATCATTCCAGTTTTCATGCAATTCATGTCTTAGCTCATGCAGTTTCAGAATTAACCCAGTTCCAGATGTCTAGGCCCTGTCATAATACTGAGGCAATTCCAGCTTGTCTTGGCCCTGTCATAATACTGTGATCATGTTTGACTCTGTTCTCACTCATGACCCTATTCTTGCTAGACCCTCTCTCAGTGATGACCCTTTCTTGACCTCTCTTGACCCTATCTCAGTGTTGACCTCTATTGACCCTGTCTCAGTGTTGACCTCTCTTGACCCGGTATCAGTGTTGACCTCTCTTGCCCCGGTCTCAGTGTTGACCTCTCTTGACCCTGTCTCAGTGTTGACATTGTCTTGTCTGTCTCAGTGTTGACCTTGTCTTGACCCTATATCAGTGTTGACCTTGTCCTGAGCCTATCTCAGTGTCGACCTTGTCTTGAAAAAGTAAATGACGAAACACATTTGTGAGCTAAAATTACAAATATTTCATAACTTTGCAGTCTTCCTAGTATTATTTGTCATGCAAATCTACTGCTATTATTACTTTTCAATAGTTAAAAAATATTTGATTATTTTTTTTAATTTTGTACATACCAGTAAATCTTTAATGTACTGCTTTACTTTGTTAAGTCTGCGTTGTATCAATACACCTACGTGTATCACATCACTATCTGTTCACATATTTGTATTATAGTTGGACAAAACCCAAAAGCTCTTATGAAGCTGACAGAGCTAATAGGTATATTGCAGATTATACAAAGACAGAATGCAACTAAAAATAATCAAAGTACATATTGATTTCAAAACATTTTCATCTCTGTGGAATGAAACATTGTCTAAAGATCACTTTGTATTTTGCTAAAAAAAACATTAAGTAGTCCTGAAATCGATAACACTTACAACCATGACATGCAGCATTTGTATACTATAGAACTGCATGAAATTGAAACTTAGGAAAGTATTAAGTAACCCATTATATTGCAGAAAATAACTTGTTTTCTCAATAATACAGTACCACTTTTGAAATATCAGATTTCTTGAAAGTGAATGTTTATGTATGCATTGTGGATGTACATGCATGTGAAATAAAATTTGCCTCATTGACAAATCACACCACCAATATCCAATATTTATGGTGCTATACCTGTTAATAGGACTACTGAACTCAGTAAATCCATATTTGATTTTAAAATTCAGATACTTAGAGAGTATGGATTACACCTAATTGTATTTCCTTCATTAGATCAACCATAAATGGCTTCTATGGATCAATGTATATTTTGAACTTTAGATGAAAGCAATCCTGATCTTAATGCATGCTTTATAAGTAAATGCAAGGAAGTCAGTATAGCACAAGACGTACAGCTATAATAGATACATTGGGCGATGAAGCAAATTTGCACCCATATTCGTATAGTTTCTTGTTAATGACAACAATGGTATATGTGCAATTGTCTCAACATAATTTCAACGAAATAAATATAACGATTGGTTTTGTATGCCTGACTGCGTTTGGAAGAATGACAAAACTTCACAAGCAAGTAACTGCAAACTGTTTTTTTTGCATTGTTGGCAGAATTCTGTAAATTTACTCTTCTAATGCTTCTCTTTTGAACCCAAGATATCCATGGGACATATTTTCTTTTATTAAGCTCTTCATCTATAGCACAAAATATTGCTTTTGCCACTTTCAGTTGACAGAAGGCTTTAACCCTTCTGTGTGTTATTCATGTTTGGGGCCTACTTCTAAACATGAAAAACAGTGGTTTGTTTAATCACACTTGCGCTTGTATCATCTCGACCAATCAGAGCTACTTATTCAAGCAATTGAAATGTTGGTATTTAATTATTCTTTAAGTACTTTGGATGGTCACTATACACAGGTCTGACTGGATAATAATAAATTCTCATAACCATTATTCAACAAAATGTGCATAATGTTATTATCACCATAGTTTTGACATCGACCCCACTTTTTCAGAAAATGCATTCCAGCGGTGTGCCTGCAAGAAAATTTGGCAATGAGAAATGTTGTAATTACATCTTAAAAAACACTTTGATTCAGGTGAATTTAAAGAGACAATAGTTGTGAACATTTTTTGTTTAAATATGCATAATCACTTAAAGATGACCAAAACTTACCGAAATGGCACAACTGCATGGACTCTACTCAAGGGTAATGTCACGTTAAGCAATGTGAAAACTAAAAGTTGAGCCAGAGGAAACAGCCAGTAACCACCTAAATGACCACCTACGCTGAATAATATACCAGCTACTTTTTATTTCCCCTTTTTTAGGGAGGGGGGGGGGTTCCTACTGGTATATTTCCATTTTCTCTTTCAACTCGAAAACAAAACTACATCATTATTATGAACACTCACAGCACCTTGATCTCAGCTGACTTCTCCAGAAGCTTTTTACTTGCACAGATTTATTAATCACAGGTGACAAATTGAGAGATAAGGTAAGTGCTCATAAACTCAGTTGTAGGCATTACAAACCTGTTCTGTGAGAGACATACACGTTATCAAATGTGTTTCCATTACAGGTATAACACTGAATACACTTTGCAATAGTCTCAACAATAGGCGATTGGTGATAATGGACTTTTTAAAAGTTAAACACAATTTAAATAATCAAATCAGCAAGTCAAACAGTGCAAAAAGTTGAGAGAAACAGTGTTTGTAAATATACATGTATGTTGTTCATTACCCATTTGCATCTAAGTACTATAAAAATATAATTTTACTGGTAAAATTTTATTGAAATGCATTCAGCAAATTTCAATGTTGAAGTATTAATTAATTACAGGCCATTGTATACCAGTGCACATTATCATATGTTACTTTTACATTGAATTGACCACATAAGGGTTATTAATTAATTTCAATTAAACGAATTTCTCACAATGGAAAAATGTGAAACAGAATTGTTTTAGCAGTTTAAAAAGTACGAGACAATTACCCATCCATGCATGACTTGAGAGAGACAGGAAACATTTTAATCACTTTATAGAGAAAATAATGTACTCAAATGTTTTAATTTCCACTTGTATTTCCTTAGGGACGAACCATTTGATATCCTGGGGGCAGAAAGATTGAAATGAAGCCTACTTTTTTTCCCCTATCTGATATAGAATTATTATTTTTCAGCAGACCCTGTCTCTAATTTTGACATGCATATAGTGTAGGATTGTTTTTTTCAAGCATTGTCATAGAATTTTCTTTTTCACAAAATCTTCCTGCCCCCCTGATATCAAATGGTCTGCCCCTTATATTTTTTGTGAGACAATTTGTTTCATGAGAGTGAAAAACCTGAGACAAAAATATAAGGCAAATGTTTCATGCCTGGTGAGAACACTGCAAGATCATATTACCAATAGTAACAGCCCTATGCTTCTTCCTCAGCTCCTGAGAGCGAGGTTATTTGTAGATATGCTGGCGATCGCCTCTGTGTCTGCGGAAGTACTATGGGAGATTGCATGATGGGAGTGAAAATTCTTTTGATCAATAAAATAATTTTATAAAAGTGAAAACTAGAGTGACTGTGAAATAAAGGTCATGGAATCTGGATGAAATAATAAAAGGAAACTGAACTGGTATAAAAGGGAGGTAAATGTAGCTAGAATGCAAGGTCAAATTCCGGGGGTCAAAATACATCACAATGCATTCATCATTGCGGCTGCAAAGTGACAACAACTATGGATGCAGTAAAAACCTTTATTTGCAGTTTGCGTGAATGGCCGGGAAAAAAACATGCAAATTATGTACTTCAGTAACAGTATCTGCTGCTTTTTTGTTCAAAATTAACACAAGAAATGCTGCCAAAAGACATTTCCTTCTAGTAAACAAAACGTTTATCTTGTAAATGTTATGGTTCTGTTACAGCAAATCTCAGAAGTATTGGGGCATCCAATTTGCAAACTCGCTAGCGAATTTGCTAACTGCCTGGCTTTCAAATCTCGCTGGCGCCGATTTGTGGTCGCGTCTACTC